CCTAGGGTGAGTTTTAAATAGGGACAATTTTTAACGATTTTAAAGAGCCACAGCTACCAATATTTGGGTTTTAATTGGTTTTTAGTAGGGGAAATTTTTTGTATGATGTTTTAATACGCTGTGAGCCGCCCTGAGTCCCATGGGGAGAAGGGCGGCATATAAATCCTGTTAAATAAATAAATAAATAAATAAATAAAAGAGCCAAGGTTGCCTACCCCTGGTCTAACTCTATAATATAAAACCCAACAGTCAATAGGAGAAGCAAATTGCTCGGCTAAAAATCCGATTCTAACTTTTTAAGCGAATGTTAGAATAATTAGCACTTTGAGGTACAGTATATTGCACTGATTAGGCAAAAGATTAGAATGGAAGCAGCTCAGCCTGAAATCCCAGAAAGAAAAAACGAAGAGTAAGAGCCTCCATCTTTAAAGTCTTCTGAAGAAATTCCAACTCACAACAGAACAAAAAATAGTGAAATAATAGTTGGATCCCAAAGACTCAAGGAAAAAGTGGAACCAAAGTTACCTTTTGCACTAGCCATTTGATCCAGAACCACATAATTTTGCTCACTAAATTCTCTATAGTTCACATTACATGATAGCAGCCATTTGTGATGCTCTGGCATTTTTATTAAATGTGACGTTCTGAAATTTTTGTCACTACAGGGCAGTGATGGTGGGAATCCTCATAAAGGAAATCCCAATTTTTTAAGGGCAAAAAAAATAATGCCATTTCCACATCTATCTTTTGTGTATTATTTTTTTTTAAAAAGAGGCATGATTTGAACCAGAGATAAATTGGATCAGTAAACTTTTCACAGCTGGCCCTTATTTACTAAAATCCTTGTGATGAACATAGTTATATAAGCCTTTTGATTTTGCACCTGTAATGACATTCTGGCCACTGCCATTTTTTGCAATTACATATTCATTAGTTAAATTATTTAGGTTCAACTGAGCCTATAAATATAAAACAGGGGCCTTCAAACTTGGCCCTTTTATGATTTGTGGGCGTCAATTCCCAGAATTCCTCAGCCAGGCACGCTGGCTGAGGAATTCTGGGAGTTGAAATCCACAAGTTCATAAAAGGGCCAGGTTTAATAATAATAATAAAGTTGGAAGGGACCTTGGAGGTCTTCTAGTCCAACCCCCTGCTCAGGCAGGAAACCCTACACCATTTCAGACAAATGGCTGTCCAGTCTCTTCTTAAAAACTTCCAGTGTTGGAGCATTCACCGCTTCTGGAGGCAGGTTGTTCCACTGGTTAATTGTTCTCACTGTCAGGAAGTTTCTCCTTAGTTCTAGGTTGCTTCTCTCCTTGATTAGTTTCCACCCGTTGCTTCTTGTCCTGCCTTCAGGCGCCCCTGATCTAAAACAAAGGTTAACTTTCCAAAAATTGTAACCAAAAAAACCCCCCTGCTACCCTGCTTTGCAATTTCATTGCACAGGGAAAAATCAGAGGGAAGGAAGAGATCTCCAAACTGGGAAACAGGAAGTATAATGTAGGATGCAAACATCTGAATAAAAATGCAACTTCAGTTCCAGCGTGACTGTGACTCTTCCCATACAGCCTTCAGTGAAGTCGGAGGTTATCAAGGATTATTTGACAAAT